GCTTCATTTCTGTCCCCTGAACGGGGATCCATGGAAATGTAAACCTTCTGAGTTGAATTCTGCAATATCCTTTTCGCTATACCTCCAATTAATTAGGGTGACATTTTGCCCCTCTAAGCCTGCAGGCATCTCCACGGAGTCCCCTACTGTCTTGTGGAATGACAGGTATGAAGAAACACCCACACCTGAAACACAAAAATTGACATTGGCATTCTGACATCAATCAATGGTTACACTTACTGCTGTGTAATTATTCATGTAAGTATGGTGTAGCAAGTATTGCAATTACTCATTGTTACAATGTAATACTTGTTACAGTGTGCCTACATGACTAATTACACAATAATACTCTGCAATGCAAAGTGTTACCTAATCAATAATAGATAATAATGGATTGGATTTATATAGAGCATTTCCAGGTTTCATTTATACTGTACGTGGCACTTTACATATTTGCACTTTATATCTTTAAGTAACTGAGTGTGTGGGTCCATCTTTACTTTATTAAAGTCCGCTCCTCCCCCACATTCAGCAGAACAGTATGAGATGACAGGAAAAGAGAATTGGGGGGTGGATCTGATAACTCCTCCTCAGCTCACAAATACAAATCCCACTGTGTTTACTGAGTAATTACCCCCAGAAATGCATCATATACTGCATGGGCAACATTATAAATACATGTCAGTCTGAAGTGATGTTTTATAAACCCTTACACAAAAAAACATCAGTCATGAATTAAGAAATAAATACAGTTACAGTTAATTGAAGAATTTATGGCAGAACTGCAGTTATCCTAGGCATGCAATGTATCTTATTATGTAATACAAACAATAATTACATACAGTCCAATATCACCTTAAATTTAATGAATGACATGCATCTAGCACAGGGTCGTAAGATCTCTTGCGTTCTAGAAGCACTGCAGAATCAATACATCATGATATGTTGCTGAATATAGGTATTATGTAGGTGTTATCACACAGTAATAAAGCAAACGTTTCGAGATATTCAACCAATCACTTATGACTAGGCATTCTACAGTCAACACACCATGCAAAGACCAACAATGAATTTAGAGAAAGCTAACGGTTTTCCAAACTTTATCATACCATCAAACACATGCACATGAGAATTATTCTACCCTCTTGGTTTCACATTAGACTAAGGAGACCGTTGAAAAGACCTTAAGCAGCCAACTGACTAAAGTCAGTAAGTGGTTATCCATGTAGGCAGACAGAATGTATCCTGTTTGGTTCCGAAAACAAAGTGAGAAACTATTCCAACTTCTCGGTCAAGTGTAATGGTGTAGTGGTGAAGGAAAAATGCTATGTTACATACATTGGGATGTGAACTGGACCAACACATGACATGTGAACTTATGGCTCTGAAGGTCATTGGGTAGGTTCACTCCAGGACAAAGTTCTTGGCAAGGTAGCCAAGTTCTTGTATACAGAGAGTATGAGGACCCTGGAAACATCTCTGATACGGTGCCACTATGGCTATGCTTCTATCTCATGGTTCAGTGGCGTATCACAAAATCTGAAGGACAAACTTAAAACGACCCAAAACAAACATTGGTCCTAATCATTTCAGGGAACTGAACTGGCTTCTAGTTAATCTCCTGGTGATGCAGATAAAACTGTTGATGGTTTTTAAAGTGATACATGACCTTGCCCCCAGTTACCTTTCTGATTATTTTAATTTCATTAGAGACTCTCATAGTCATCACACCAGAGCCAGTGTTGCCAGTATGAGACTGCTGCTCTATAGGAGCATGGCTGGAAAAAGCTATTTCCTTAACACTGGCGCAGAGGAATGGAATGGTGTGCCAAACCATATAAAATCCATCAATATACGCTAGGGAGTTTTAAGATAAACCCTAAGAAATGGTTTATGGGCAAAATGCTTTAAAACTGCACAACAAAGTATAATTGTTTCAATGAACGTCACTTGGTAATCTATTTTATTCCTTTTAACGGTTTCCTCCATATTGATGAGGTGTATTTTAGGTGTTTTTTGCTTTCATGTTATCTTGTGTATATTTTTGTTTTCATGTATTTTCTTGACGTCCACAATGGGGATACGTTTTAAAACTTTTTTGTGTCATCCACGGCGATGGTTGTATTGTGGTTGTATTGTGTTTAAAATGTTCAAATGAATAAAAATCGTCACAAAACTTACCATAGTGGAGGTTGGAGAGTATGAGAAGGAGTATTCCCTGTTTGGAGAAGCAGGAGAAGGGACCACCAGACATCTCTTTAAGGCATGGTATGACTGTTTCCTCTGGCTGTATGTCCTCATCTATCACTGTCACTGGTAGCAAGCAGTTGACTACCAAAACACACAGAGAAGAAAGAGTAGAGAAAGAGCAGAGACTTCCTTTTGATGAGGGCTGCTGTTCTATAAAATCATCCCTGTATGTTAGTTGAAAAATAAGTCACATTCTACAGTTGCTCTCTGGAAATACCCCTTCGCTCAGCTTGAGAGTTAGTAGATGAGGCGTGGGTGTGTTTGGGGTCTGTCACTGTGTTGTTCAGTCTGGTGGTGGTGGTTTTGGAGCATGTGTTTCCTACCTGCTGCTGGTTGTGTGGTTAATGGTCATGGTGTTTCACAGATACCGGTAACTTTGTCACTTTATGAGCAGACCACTCAATGTTGCAGAGAAATAAAAAGGAGGGAGAGAGAAGGCTCAGGGGAAGAGAGAAAGAGAGACAGAGACAAAGAGAGAAAGAGAGATAGGGACAGAGAGAGAGACAGAGAGAGAGAAAGAGAGAGAGGGGGGGGGAGAGAGAGCAAGAGAGAGGTGGGTTAGAGAGAGAGAGCGAGAGAGAGCAAAAATATCATAACAGTGTGTGTGCATTTTCATCTAGTCTTCATATGCCTGGAGAAGTGTTTGCATGACTTCTTCTGCATGCTCATAGGTCAGTGTGACTGAGGGACATGAAACACCTGCCAACTTTTTCAGAAGGTAGTGGGTCCAAGGTTACTGATAGAGGCCCCCTTCTACATTTCAGGTAACATCTTGTGGTGATGTTACTTTCCTGTGACTTGTGGTCTCCGTGGCGACCTGTTTCTGTTTCTCAGGAGCAGTGACATTGACCTGGCTGCTGGCTGTCTGTCTGACCACATAGACATAGACACACAAACACAGAAACCCCCTAACTGGAACAGTGACTTTCCAAACCATGCAGGGATACTGAAAATAGCAGTCAGAGTCATACACCACTAATGTCATTGTATATATACAGTTGAAGTCGGAAGTTTACATACACTTAGGTTGGAGTCATTAAAACTATTTTGTCAACCACTCCACAAAATTATTGTTAACAAACTATAGTTTTGGCAAGTCAGTTAGGACATCTACTTTCTGCATGACACAAGTAATTTTTCCAACAATTGTTTACAGACAGATTATTTCACTTATAATTCACTGTATCACAATTCCAGTGGGTCAGTAGTTTACATACACTAAGTTGACTGTGCCTTTAAACAGCTTGGAAAATTCCAGAAAATGATGTCATTGATTTAGAAGCTTCTGGTAGGCTAATTGACATCATTTGAGTCAATTGGAGGTGTACCTGTGGATGTATTTCAAGGCCTACCTTCAATCCCAGTGCCTCTTTGCTTGACATCATGGGAAAATCAAAAGAAATCAGCCAAGACCTCAGAAAAAAAAAAATTGACCTCCACAAGTCTGGTTCATCATTGTCACAAGCTGGGCTTGAACTCAGGTCTCAGATGTGGAGAGTTGGGTGTTCAACCCCTTAGCCACAGAGGAGGTATAGTTGGACCCAAATGAAACACCCAAGGCAATACTCCAGGCAAGTAGATTTAATGTAAAAAAAGGTTCTTTGCACTTCAAAAATAATCCAACAAAAGTTCTTCTCAGAAAGAGGTATACTAACAGAGGTACAGTAAACAAAACAGGAGGCAAAACAAAATAACTCCACGAGGGGAGAAAAACAAACTAAAGATAACTTAGAAAAGCTTACTTGGAAAGACTCTGTGGGACAAAGCAGGAGACACATAGCCAGGACTCAAAAACCAAGTGAGGAACAAGGGGAAAAAACACAGCTAAAATACTCTAGGGGAAACAAGGCACAGGTGACCTGGATCAAGCTAATAAGGACACACGAGGAAGAACTAAGGCAGAGGGGAACACAGATGACCTCTAGAGGCCCGGAGACAAACAGGAGGCAGGGAGCTGACAGGACCCCCTCCTCTAGGAACGACTCCTGACGTTCCTTCCAGAACACCCTGGCCTCAGGGTGCGAAACTCTCGGATCAAACCTGGGTCCAGGATGTCCTTGGCTGGAACCCAGGAGCGCTCCTCTGGCCCGTAGCCCTCCCAGTCCACCAGATACTGCAGAGAGTTCTGGACCCTCCGGGAGTCCAGTATCCGGCGGACTGTGTAGGCTGGCTGGCCGTCAATGATCCTGGGAGGTGGCGGGGGTCTGCGTGGGGGGGCAAAGGGAGAAGACAAGACAGGTTTTAGTAGTGAAACATGAAAAGTGGGGTTAATTCTAAGGGAGCGAGGGAGAACCAAACGATAAGAAACAGGGTTAACTTT